GGGGGGGGGGGGACGCTCGCGCTCTCCCGCTGCTGATCAGCCAGCCAGTGGGAGTCCAGTTGTTCTGTGCGCGCGCGACTCGGACTACCAGACGCAGCAGCAGCATCCCACTGACTGGACCGGACCGGACTGGAGGAGGACTCACGGGTCCACCGCAGCTCCTCATTCCGTCTCTTTGTGTCCCGGATCAGTGAGGACCCTACCTTCCCGCGCGCACACGGAGGACGCTTTTCTGTTGCTCCAGAGTCCCAAAAGTGCCCGAAACTGAACAGAACCCCGCTTGGACCCGGTCCTGCTTCTGTTGTTGTTGTTGTTTTTAAGGGGATCGTGTTTTTGTTTGTTTGTGCCCGAGTCGACCTGGAGCTCCTGGGTGCAGAGCGGAGCGCGCGGCGCGGAGTGTCCATGGATTTCCATCCAGTGGAAGTACCCTGAGAGTTCACCTGAGCTTTACTCCATCACCTCCTGCTCCGACTTTGTTTTTTTTGTTTGTTTGTTTTTGTTTGTTTGTTTGTTTTTGACGCGCAGAGGAAACGATGCTCGTGGCAGCCCTGTGCGTGGTTCTGTCGCTTCTGGGTGAGTTCAAGTTCAAGAAATAAACTAAATGTGTTTGTAGACGAATTCTGACCCGTCGGGTCCGGGACCAGAACCTCAGACTGAGTCCAGAGTCCCGCGGAGCCTAAACAACAAACATGTTTATTTCAGCTGAAAAGTCCAAAAGTGTCTAAATGATGCTGATAAATAAATTAAAATAAATCAACACCTGGTTTGAGTCTGTCTGTAAACTCTGCCTCCAGGTGCGCCTGGCTCCGCGCAGGAGAACCTGCGCGCGGGGGCCCCCCGGCTGGACTGCGTGCGGGCCAGCGAGCAGTGTCTGCGGGAGCAGGCGTGCAGCACCAAGTACCGCACCATGAGGCAGTGCGTGGCCGGCGGGAAGGAGAGCAACTTCAGCCTGGTGGCCGGCCAGGAGGCCAAGGACGAGTGCCGGAGCGCCATGGAGGCGCTGAAGCAGAGCCCGCTGTACCACTGCCGCTGCAGGAGGGGCATGAAGAAGGAGAAGAACTGCCTGCGCATCTACTGGGGCATCTACCAGACCCTGCAAGGTGCGGCCTCCCAAAACCACTGAGCTACCACACCAACTTTGAGCTCAGTGTTTGTAGATGTGGATGTCAGATTTGTTTAGCTGTGGCTGCCATCTTGAAAGAGCTCGAGCCTCCAACATGTATTCTTGTCGGTCATCTGTAACAAACTTTAACAGTTTTATTCAAATCCACGCGCTGGAGCTCATGATTTTTTGTTAACAGACAGTCAGGTTGACTCCCAACAGCTTTTGCCAAAGTTTTAGGCAAATATCCCGCCATACTGTGCAGTGCGTAAAGTATGTGTTTGTGGTGACTCTCAGCTACTACCACACCAAATGTCATGTCAATATCTTTAAAACTAACGGAGTTATAGACATGTTTGGGTTTCAAACATTCGGCTGGTTGTGGAGGCCATCTTAAAGTAGGATGAGTCCAAAAGTTAATCAGTTATAGATGCTCACGCAGGGATTACTTTCTGAGAGTTTCATTAAGATGGATGAATTGGTTTTGGAGATATTTTGCTAACAGACACTCCAGTAAATATCTGATTCTGAAAAGCACAAGGTGGGCGATTAAAAGAGCGTGAGCTGAGGCAGGTTGTCTCATCTGTGAGATGATCAGTCCTTCTGGGGCTGGAGGGGGGAGCACCAGTAGACCCCCCCCCCCCCCCCCCCAACGCGGTGACCCTCCGTCAAACAGTCAGAAAACAGCACCACAGTTTCTGTCAAACGAAGTCCTGAACTCGTTTCACAGCTGAGGTCCACGACTCGACCCCGAGTCTCATCCTGCGCAGCTAATGGAGCGTGACACCCCCCCCCCCCATCACTGGGGGTAACGTATCTGAACTGTGTCTCCTCCTCAGTGAGGCCCACTCCAGTTGTGCAGCACAGCTGACCAACCTGCCTAATCAGGCGTGGGGCTCGGTGCCAGCTCGGATATCGACTGACCCAAATAACCCGTGTCACATGGAGGCCGCTGAGAGGCCATAAACAAACGGGGTGGGTGGGGGTGGGGGTGGGGGGGAGAGAAACATTTAATCCAACTTTCTTCTGTGTCTCGTGTTTTTGTTTCAGGTAACGACTTCGTGGAGGAGTCGCCGTACGAAGCGGTGAACAGTCGCCTGTCGGACATCTTCCGCCTGGCCCCCATCATAGGTAAGAAGGAGGAGCGGCCCGCTCCACCCCCCCTCCCTCCATGTTGGATCAGTGTTTGCCCCCTCTCCTGTCTCAGCTGAGACACAAACACTGTGGAGTCCAACTGTTTGTCCTCACCTTTCCTCCTGTCCTCCCCCTGCACGAGGGACAGGCAGTGACCTGTCCTGTAGCTCTCTGAGCAGCTGAGGACCCGTCTGGGTTCTAGTGTTGGCTGGTGAGAAGAAGCATGGCAGACATGTTCCCC